AAAACGTCCCTAGCAGCGAGGAGAGACGGCTGTATTCTCAGGCTTTGGAGACGCAGACAAACCGGACACGAAGTCAAGGGTTCGCATAAAGGTTGGGACGCTCTGGGCGACAAGTTGAAGCAACACACCGCAGCGACAAATCGACAAATCGTTACAGTGTGTACTAGAGAGTCTTTGTCTTTGCAACAGAATGAGGGGTGTGGCCGCAGCAAGAAGCGCAAAAGCAAGTCAGATTGATTTTATGAGGCACCTTAAGGGGAGGGGGTTCCCTGGTCTGAATTCTAAAACCAGTCATTTCGCGTATTGAGGAGGAAGGCATGTCCCTGTCGGTTAGTATTATTTACGCGATTGCCCGCGCAGTCGCAGTTTCAACCCATCTTTATATAGCTTTATATGTCGTTTGTCTCTGTTTCACCCGTGTAATCAAATGGGTAAACCGCTAAATATAAAAGCTGGCAGTCGTTTCTATCGCCTAATTCTCCTCGCTCACGTGCGCACCCGGCCTCTACGCCTTCCCAACACAAAACCGCTTGCTACACAAGCTTAAACGAGCCGAGAACCTGCCGTTTCTCAGCACCCATCCACACGAATTCGGATACTTTTGAAACCGCATATTTTTATACACGGATGTATGAGCGGATTTACTGGTTTCGTGTGGAGCGTAGGGATTCGTGTAAAACCTTTACGGTTTTAAAAATATCTGGATTCGTGTGACCGGGCCTCACGTATCAGTCAATTCGTGCTGCACCCATGACCGTTTCCCCCGTACCCGTGCTGACCCTTGAGCATAAGCAGTTTTTCAACCCGTCTCCAGTTGGCATCAACTGCGATACTTTTGCTTCACTATATACACTGATATATCTTACAAATCTAGATTAGGATGGTGCCGCACAGCCACACCTACCACGAATCAATGAAGTGTCAACATGGAGTTTTGAAATACCCCTTGAGAAAGGTGTAAAATGATTCACTTGTCTGCAACAATCACCGAGGGGTAGAAAAAGTTTTCCAACGGACTTAAGAGTAGCCTGTTCAGATATTACATCATGCTAACTTAAGAGAAAAAGACAGGGGTGGAACGTAGAAAGATGGGAAAGAGAAAGTCATGCTCCTGGAAACTTCTCGATCACGCGCCCTTTTGCTTCACGCTCCTGGTTATCCTTTCCCCCTTAATAGCATACAGCTCTTCCCCTAGATCCAAGACCTAGACTCCTGAGCCCCTCGTGGTAAAATAAACTATGTCTATATCTACCCTTTTTCTTTCATAACTCCAACCCTGCAACCGTTAGTGAACTGGAACACACCTTATCTGAAGGTCTGGATCCGCCACTGCTACAGGCTTGTTTACAATAGAACGTGATAATAAAAACGGCTTTTTAAACGTTCTTTTTTGAGCTGGTGCTAAATGTTTAGAAGCACAAGGCGAGGCGCCTCTAAGTAAACTTCCAAAGCACTGAAAAATTCACATGATGTTTCGTTCAAATGCTAAATGAAAATTTTGCAAAACATTTTTCTGTTGGGGAAAGATTAGCTATACTGTTTTTTTTTTTTCTTCCTTGTCGCTCAAGAAAAATGACCACTTAAAGCGTACTTTTGTGCAGAAATTTGTGGTTTAAAAGCATCGGTTGGAAGAATTGCGGCGTGTGCGTGTTTGTGTAAACCTTCCGCACGCTTAGTCATTTGCTGACTTTTGAGTTTTTCCCTCAGTTTGAGCACGGGAAAGGAACAAACAATTATAGTCAGCATTTCTTTATTTTCAGTTGTTGTGAATATCTGTGATGTTTGTCACTGAAAATGATACTACATCTGTTCGCTAGGAGTAAATAAATCCTGCCAAATTCTATACCGCGCCACACGTGCACCAAATAGTTTGCTTCAGCTTACGTGGATTATCGTTGGTATGGTCTGGTCCATGATTTCTTAGTTCTGAGGGACATTAAAGTAGTCTATGATAGACCGCCAGTTTCGACACTTATAGAGAGTGAGAAACCAAAAAAAAATGAATAGCTTTTGGATGAGAAAACTTTCCAGATAAATCTTGAAAGGAATAATAATAAATCAGAGTCGATTCTTTGTGGCGACAAATCTGTTTGCATGAACTTCCCCAGTCCCTCTCCGTTTTTCATGAATGCGCAATCACAATGTTTCGAATTTATCACATTCCACTTCCCGAACTGTTGTATTTTTTGTGCAAAAACGATGCGGAATAACAGCGAGACAGGAACACATCTGCGACCGCGACTCCACAAATGGCTTTTACTTACTCAGAAAATCTTTCAAAAACCTTAACAATTTCTCTAATACGCACGTGCGTATTTAAGTAAAGGACTCTACGCCCCTGGCAATTTGTCTTCCACAGCCACTTTTGAGCGAGTCTATCTTTTTGTCGAGGGTCGAGGGTCGAGGGTTCCATGTCGAGGGCGAGGGTACCATGTCGAGGGTCGAGGGTAACATTTTTTTTTTCCAATTTTTTTTTTTTGGAAAAGGTAATAATCGATGCAATCAATGTCATTAAAGCAAATAAGAAGAATTTAAAAAACAAATGGCGCGTGAACATCTTCTAGTTGTTGGGTGGGGGGGCTGGAATAGAGAAAAGCTACCGGACATCCCAATTTGTTATCGAAGAATTACATTTATAACACCCGGGAAACCCATACCACGAACAAGAATGGAAGGAAAAAACTCTTATTGCGTTGTAAAATGTGTCATAAAATGTGTCATAAACGAACAATGCAATCGTTGGAGTCTATCTTTTTGCAGAGCCATTAAAATGTGCGAACTCGCATGGAAATCGCCACCCACTAACGCAAAGGTTTAAAATAGAATAATGCCTGGTAGCGACTTTCGGTGAGGTGAACATCGGCATTTGCCGACGCTTTCCCATTTAAAAAATGCAATATATCTTTCTAGGCCACAATCGATCATATTTATTTGTGAACGTGGACGTGGTGGACGTGAATAGGAAAAAAAAACAGACGTACGGTCCATGTCTCCCATTGATCCAATTAATTGTTTTACATTTGACACATTTCTACTAAAGATCTGTTGTTTTGCCAAGTTGGACATTTTTAGGAAAAAACGGAGTGAATACAAGTTTTTTATTCCCGAAAAAAAATCGACTGTGTTGCAAATTCTGTTTAACTGTTTGAAATGTTACAATGTCACACAAGGCCATTCCTGTACAATTTTTCGCTCGGTCGGGCAAGAAAAAACGGCATTGGGTTTGTGGAGTGATTTTTGGTTCTGTTTTGAGGATGTTTTCCCTGGTATTTCAATTCAAGCTTTCTCTGTGATCTATTTTTCTGTGGTTTCTGATGTAAATTTACTACTTTTAACATCATGCAAGAAACTGGACAGTGTATTCCAAGTCTGTCTTTTGCGGAATTTTTTTCTTTAAATATTCATATAGTGTACACTCTTTTTTTCTTTTTTTGAAAGTTCGCATAATCGGTCTGCTTCGATCTGATCGCTGTTCGTGAATAAAAGCTCTCCTTTTCGTGCAAAATAGGAAATAATCGCTGAAGCCGTTGTGAAGAAAGTTTTTGCGCACACACCTCTGATTTCTGTTTGAAATGCACACTAGGGATAAAGATGCGTACAAAATTAGTTTCGCCACATGACTTCCTATTGTCCCACTGCCGCCATCAACTGTGCCGATAAGTGTTGGTTTTGCGTTCCTTTTGTGTTTCAGGGTGTTTCAAATTTCTGCTGTGATACATTTTTTAAGCTGCAGAACATGACGTTGGTAATTAAAGGAGTTTATTATTGCGGCGTGACTCGGGCGATAGCATCAACCATCTAAATTATCACTCTAGCTACGCACCTACGTACCTAGGTCACGATTTCCGGTGTCGGTGATTATCGATGACTTGTATTTTAAAATTTCATGGCGAGTTTCTACTTCATTGAAAGCACGACAATTCGGTCGCATACAGTGGGATAGCTTAAAAAACAAGAATCGGTGAAATATCCATATTCAAACTACCCCACTGAACAGCCAAGCAAGGCAGAGAAGAGGCAGACGTGACTGAACCCAACCACGCCCCTAAATGCATTATAAACACTTTTTCGCTTATCCAGAGTACTTTCAAATCTCTAGAAATGCATTCTAAGCGGCGCTATAAAAGTTGTATCTGTTAGGAATTTTAGGTTTTACGAAAGTGAGAATTTTTCTGATTCCTCTCTCCATCGCATTTTCTAATCCGAAAATTTTAGATTTCCTTTTTCAACGAAAAATAGGCTTAGTTGGGGGCTGAAATGTGAAAAACTAAACTTTAGAAAACCGTAGGGAATTAATTAGATAAGCTACGAAAACTGTACGTGAATGGAACGGCCATCTAGAAATTTTTAGCCTTCCTCAAGTAACAGAAAATTGTACGCAATTTTTGCTTCTCCGAACAGATATTTTACAGAAACAGTCGTTGGGTGCCCCTGCCTAAGCTCTATGACATTTTTTTTAGGCACAACTTTGCTACCTTCACAGGAAGGGAGAAGGTTCTTTACTTTTAAGCGAATTCGAATGTCCACGTACTATTTTAATTAAACAACAACAACATCAAATTTTCTTTATGGATGTCCCGGAGCTTTTCTCTATTCCACCCCCCACCCAACAACTAGAAGATGTTCACGCGCCATTTGCTTTTTAAATTCTACTTATTTGTTTTAATGACATTGATTGCATCGATTATTACTTTTTCCAAAAAAAAATCCAAAAATAAAATGTTACCCTCGACATGGCACCCTCGCCCTCCACATGGAACCCTCGACCCTCGACCCTCGACAAAAAGATAGACTCCTTTTGAGCTTGTATTTGTATTTTGTATTTTATTTGTCACATAGACAAATTACATGCATGATGACAATTACAAAAAAGGTACAAAAATGTAGAAAGCAATGGCAAGAAGGCCTAAAGGAAACTATATAGCTTAAAAGATTTGTAACAATATCGAAATATTCTTTTCAAAGGTGGTACCAGCCACATCTAAAGGGAATCACCAAATATGGCCGCCTCACAAGAATTTTCTAAAGAACAGCTAAACTATTACAGAATTTGTTATGTAACCACGGATATTTTAACGGAAAGTCTACGGTCTCTATTCAAACAAGAATGGGACAATCGCTACAAAGCTACACTTGGGGAGTGGAAAGATGACCCTAAAAGTGGGATGGATTTTTATAACGGTGAGTCCCCGCGGAACCAAAGACGAAACGCACATCTATTGGTGACGATACAAAATGGGGATAGAGCTAAATGGGACTGCACCATGCTGTTTTACGCTATTCTTTATTCTGATTGTATCGGGAGCAGTCTCAGCCCAACAGTGAAGACCAATGTAGACAATCTAAGAAAATTCAGGAACGAAGAATTCGCTCACATGCCACGTGGCTCCTTGGAAGATGCAGACTTTCAGAATACCATAAGTAAAGTTCATGGAGTATTTCAAGCTCTCGGCCTTTCTACTTCTCGTATTGATGACGTCAAGAACCAGACGTATTTTCCCACGAAGGAGGTAAGTCTCGTTTTGAAAGAGGTTGATGATCTTCAACAGGAACTTCGACAAGAAAAACAACAACGAAAAGTCCTTGAAGATCAGCTAGAAAAAGATATCTCCCCCTTTTGCATTCTTCCTCCTAAGCCTTCACATAACATCACGGGACGAAATCGTGAGGTTGCCGAAATAACGAAACAGCTTAAAGAGTTAAAAGGGGCCAATAAAAATGAGCTCAGTTACTTGTACATCTCTGGGAATCCTGGGAGTGGCAAATCACAGTTGGCTGGCCTCGTAGCTAAGCGGTTTTTCGATGAGGCCAGAGATATTCCATCTTCTACTCCATGTGTGATGACGTTAAATGCTGCAAGTCCTGATTCACTTCTGGAATCATATGCTCTAATGGCTCGACAGGTTAAGTGTCCTGAATATGCAGTTACAAACACAATTATCTCGAAGGATGTCAAAACAGAGGAGAAGATCTCAAATTTGAAAACTTTAATATCGGCGAGAATCGAGTTGTACACCTCTTGGCTTCTCATAGTAGACAACGTGTTTAGTATGCCTTGGGTACATGTTCATCTTCCAGAACGTGGAAACGAACAGTGGTCAAATGGCCAGATACTAATTACAACCCAGGACGTCTCTTCCATCCCTTCAACGGGCTCTTTCGTTAATCACGTCTCGATTAGCAGAGGTATGGAGGCTGACGATTCCTGTTCATTGTTAGCGATGCTTTCTGGAATCTCTGACTGCGAGATAGAGAAGGAAGTCGCAATGAAGTTAGACTACCAGCCTCTTGCATTGGCGAGCGCCGCAACTTACGTCAAACAGGTTCGGCAGAACAAAACAACTTCAAACTTCACCTGGGTCGACTACTTAGAGAAAATAGAAAAAGGACAACGGAGCACCACTGAGAAATTTCTTTCGCAAAGCAACCTATGCTACCCAAAGTCCATGACCGCGGCAACAACACTTGCTGTTGAAAATGCGATGATGTCTGACGAAATTGTCGGTCACACGTTCGCTTTGCTTTCTCTGTGTTCAGCAGATCCCTTAAGCGTGGACATCGTGTTTAATTACATTTCCAGAGTGGATGAACAAGCCGCGGACAAAGAGTTGATTTGCTTAAACCTCAAAAGGTGTTCATTGGTTTTATTTGAAGAGGACGAAAGTGGCGCTTTTATTCGTATTCATCAGATTGTGCACGATGCTATCAAAACTGTAATGAAAGATCACCAGGAACCGCGAAATTCAAGTCTAATAATCAATACGGCAGCGGCATCATTTAGCCAGTTTATAACCGCTATTCCAGAACACAGTAAAACGTACTCAGACACCATACACTTGATCCCACATTTAAAGGCCTTAATTATAGTTATTGAATCTCTGTTTCCGGAAAAAAACACAACTCACGACAACAAGGGGACACTAAGGCCAGACAACATTAATTCGGATTATTTATTTCAACTTGGCGAGATTTGTACTGAACATGGTGAGCATCACATATCAATGAAGTACCATGAATATGCATTAACCATCAAATTAACTATCCTTGGCCCTGACGATACTGAAGTTGCAGATAGTTACCTTCACCTAGGATATATACTCCAAAGGTTAGGTCATTTTAAGCGTGCGAAAGAGCATCAAGAACGCGCACTCGAAATATACCTCAAGAAGCTCGGTCCTGACCATATTTATACAGCATGTGCCTACAGTGGCTTGGGAACAATTCACAAAGACTTAGGTGACCTTGAACTCGCGAAGGAATATCAAGAGCGCTCAGTCACAATTATCTTAGAGAAACCTAGTCCTGACCGTTTCGGCGTTGCGAGTTGTTACCATCACTTGGGTTGTATTCACCACGATTTAGGTGACCTTGGGCTGGCGAAGGAATATCTTGAGCGTGCTCTTGCTATTAACTTAAAGAAGCTCGGTCCTGACCATGCTAACGTTGCGAATTGTAAACATCACTTAGGTCGTCTTCAGCGCGATTTAGGTGACCTTGAGGGCGCGAAGGAATATCATGAGCGTGCTCTTGCTATTGACCTAAAGAGGTTGGGTCCTGACCATGCCGACGTTGCGAGTTCTTACCATCACTTGGGTTGTATTCACTACGATTTAGGTGACCTTGAGCGTGCAAAGGAATATCATGAGCGTGCTCTTGCTATTAATCTAAGGAGGCTCGGTCCTGACAATGTGGACATTGCAATTAGTTACCATCATTTGGGTCGTATTCACCACGATTTAGGTGACTTTGAGCGCGCGAAGGAATATCATGAGCGTGCGCTTGCTATTGACCTAAAGAGGCGCGGTGACCATGCCAACGTTGCAGTTAGTTACCATCACTTGGGTCGTATTCAGCGCGTTTTAGGTGACCTTGAGGGCGCGAAGGAATATCATGAGCGTGCTCTTACTATTGACCTGAAGAGGCTCGGTCCTGACAATGTAGACGTTGCAGTTAGTTACCATAACTTGGCTCGTATTCACCTCGGTTTAGGTGAGCTTGAGCGCGCGAAGGAATATCATGAGCGTACTCTTGCTATTTACCTAAAGAGGCTCGGTCCTGACCATGCCAACGTTGCGAGTTGTTACCATCACTTGGGTCGTATTCACCACGCTTTAGGTGACCTTGAGCGCGCGAAGGAATATCATGAGCGTGCTCTTGCCATTTACCTAAAGAGGCTCGGTCCTGACCATATCAACGTTGCGAGTTGTTGCCATCACTTGGGTCGTATTCACCACGATTTAGGTGACCTTGATCGCGCAAAGGAATATCATGAGCGTGCTCTTGCCATTTACCTAAAGAGGCTCGGTCCTGACCATATCAACGTTGCGAGTTGTTGCCATCACTTGGGTCGTATTCACCACGATTTAGGTGACCTTGATCGCGCAAAGGAATATCATGAGCGTGCTCTTGCCATTTACCTAAAGAGGCTCGGTCCTGACCATATCAACGTTGCGAGTTGTTGCCATCACTTGGGTCGTATTCACCACGATTTAGGTGACCTTGATCGCGCAAAGGAATATCATGAGCGTGCTCTTGCCATTTACCTAAAGAGGCTCGGTCCTGACCATATCAACGTTGCGAGTTGTTGCCATCACTTGGGTCGTATTCACCACGATTTAGGTGACCTTGATCGCGCAAAGGAATATCATGAGCGTGCTCTTGCCATTTACCTAAAGAGGCTCGGTCCTGACCATATCAACGTTGCGAGTTGTTGCCATCACTTGGGTCGTATTCACCACGATTTAGGTGACCTTGATCGCGCAAAGGAATATCGAGATCGGTCTCTCGCCATTGAGAAAAACAAGCCTTCATGGTGGTAAACATAACGGTAACTCAGCATGTATTCACCAGAAGCCAAATAACCTAGATCGTGCGATGGAGCGTGAAGAACTTTTAAATGTTACGACGACAGATGGCCACTCAGGTCATGTTCATGACGAGCAAGCAGAGGATCTTGAGGATTCCAGTAAACATCAAGAAAGTTCTGAAGCCGTCAATTTCCAAAATCAAGCATTTCAACGAACTGACGTGACAACTGACTGTAATAAGCTGTGTACATTGTGCAACATAATTTAAAACATCTGCTTGAGCACAGTAACAATCTTGGCAGTCTGCGATTGTGATTCAGACTATAGTTACAGTGTAATTAGTAAATACAGTGTATTAACTATACTTGGAAGATACAGTTAAACAAGGTCAAGCGCAAACTCATTTCTCACCCAGCTTGGATGCATGAAAATCATTAACCATTGTTGGGAAATCGTCCGACATTTCATAATCGTTTACCTTAAATAATCCTGCCCTTTTCGATCTATGATCGATTAAAGTGGGAAAATTTCTTTTATAAGAATTCCACTTATTTTTCACCTTTGTGCTAGCGAAAGTACATTTAATACAACCTTTTTTAGTTTTTGACTTTGGATCACTAAGCTCAGAATTGTTTCTGTTCTTTCGGGTGATCAAATTCTGGTACCATTAAAACGGCAACACACAAGTGTTTAATTAACAGTTATATTTACGTGTCATAATTCCGAGGTATTTGTATGTTATTAATGACCCGCCTTGTAATACAGTTTATGCTGCAAAAAGGTTGAATAAACGATAATAATAATAATTGTTATTATTATAATACGTTTATTTGCCAACAAGAAAAATTGATTGAAGATTTTTCTTTATCAATTATCGCATCGCTTAAAGATTTCGATGGATGATCTATCATATATATAATCGATGATCGGCACAACACTACCAGGAACAAACTAACATACGATAACTGTGAAGTGGTATGATATGGAGTTTTAACAACTTTAGTTAAAAAATCAAAGTGGCTATTGTACCCTTTTGTGTTTGAAGATTTAGAGCTTGATTTTGAATTATTGCAAGCTTTATTTTAGTAGTTGCTCTCAATCTGCAAGTCTTGCGTAGATGCACTTCTTACCGTTATTTCTCCCAAAGAAGTTTGTATAAATGTACATCAAAGCTTTTTCTTACAACAACCCAAAGCTACTGGGAAACCTATTAATATAGCCTTGGTAGGATACTTCCTGTGAACAAAAGGGTACCTTTTTCAGGCTTCAGGTAAATGAAAGGGTAGGATTCTCACGAGTTAAAGTATTGGAAGGGTAGGGATATTTTTTGTCACTGATTTAGGTGTTTAAAAAGGCATTTAACTAAAATATTTCTACATAGTTACTAAAACAAGAAATGACCTACAAGGATCTACTCAGTGACGAGCTACAATAAGCTGCTGTGAGCTACAATGATTTACTACGGGCTACAATAGGTCATTCCTTGTTTTAGTAACTACGAATATTTCTAACCGACGTACCTTAGAGCTGAATCATTTTAATTTAGTAACCCTTTAATCCCTAAGAGTGATCAGCATCAAATTTCTCCTTGTAATATCAATGCTTTGTAAAATAGAGTGGTCATGAGAATTACGGACCTGATCACACAAGATTAATTTTCTTGATATTTTATCAACTTCTCCCCATTACCTCTGTAGGAAATAAATAGGGACAAGAAATGAGAATTCTAATTTTGATCTTAGGGTTTAAAGGGTTAAACGCTACATAAAATGACAGAAAGACGTACTGAAGTTATGAATATATGAAAATCATATAATTATGTGAAATGGGGAGTGAATAATTAAATGAAGGATGATCATCGCAGTTTTATACGCAACTTTTGCAGTTGCGAAAAGAAAGCCTGAAAAAAGTTTCAGACTTGCACGGGATTCGAACCCTTGACCTCTGCGATACCGGTGCAGCGCTCTAGCAATTAAGTGAACAAGCCAACTGGGAACAGGTCCATTCATGGGTTTGTAACGAACCAATTCAACGACCTGCTCCCAGGTGGTTTGGTGTTCTTTCAAAATAAGTACTTTTCTTAAACAAAGATTTTGAAAAATTGCCACTACAGTTGTATTAGATAAAGATGAAAATTTGTTATGATCAGGGCTGCAATGACATCAAGTTTAAATGGTTAGAAATACAATAAAAAATGGACAATCTTGATGTTTGGCGGTTATCTGTAGAAAACGAAGCGCTTTTGACATGCAGTTTCACCTCATAGTAGTTTAAATCTTTTAAAAACGTGTGTGAAAGATCATGGAGATAGTTCCGGCCGATTGCTAGAAAGAAGGATTTGATTAGTATGTATCGAGGCGCTCTTGTTAGCGGTTTTGTAACCTTTCGGTTGTACTTTAACTAATTAGCGAATAATTATTAAACCGCCAGATGAATTTTAAAAAAAAATTTGAGACTCTCGAGATTAAACGTCGTTTTAGGAGACCGGCTTTGAGTCTCAAGATTATTGATATATTGAAAGGCAGTAAGATATGAGCTACAATTTGCTAATTATTTATCGGAAATTTCGTTTTTACAAGAGAAAGCCTCTCATTATTCAACGGTATTTTCTCCAAGTTTCATTTTCACGTGAACGGCAGTAACTAAGTCAACTAACAATGCACTTGAAATATGCAAAAATGCTAGCTATTGTTGTGCACGAAAATATGAATTTATTGCCCCCGCAGGGATTTCGCCCAGAGGCGAAATGCCGAGGAGGCACCCTGGTAACTCGCGGGTATATATTAAGGACAGTACTTACAGTTCAAATATACAGTCAGTATACTAGAAAAATCTCGATTTGCTCGAACAGGGGCCGCGAGGAATCGGTAGATAATGATGACGTTTCTATTGTTTGCACCCGCAAGTACGAAATGGTTAGGATGACGTAAAGACAGAAAATCTCGAAGGGACCGCTCAGGTAGATTTTGTGACATTTATTGTGCAGTCATACTTCGATACTCTTTTGCGTTACGCAGTGACATTCTGTAGAGCAGTTGTTTTGAAAGTTATGGACCAAAAGACACTCGTTAAGCGCAGATGAGGTTATCTGGTGCGTTTAACTGTGTATATATAAACACTTGGAGAGTTTGCCAGACACGAGTTCACAAATCTTTGATTTATATTGGAAACCTTGCCAGACACTCTTTCTCTCTCTTTGACCTGAATAACAAATCTCAGCCCCAAACAAGCAAGACGAGTGAACAACGGCACTAGCAGATTGATCGACAATTACAGAAATTTGCCGACAATCAAATTCTGCGCTAACTTATTCCCTGCTCACAGATGTCCTTCCGTTATAAAGTTTCAAATAAGACTAGAATGCACGAGCGTGAATCGATCAAACGTCCTTTTAATTTCTAAGGCTTACTTTCCGGCAAATAAAATGAACTGAATGTAAAAAGTGAAAGAGAAATAGCGAAAAATTCAACTTCTAATTAAATCTTTTCTTATGGTTTAGAATAAACTATTCTCGAAACTGAGAATGTTTTGATCAAAGCTGTGTGCTGTGTAAATCGAGCTGAAACTGTGCATGGCGTGACCTTGCTTTTCTTGTATATTTATCTCACCTATTTTATGGAATAAGTGTGAAAATCTTCATTATCAATCGGTATATCTCAAAGAGCTACACAATCAGCAAGAATACTATTGACCGACAATATGCAGAACGGGGGCAGCTGTAGTGTCAACTATTACTAGTGGATATACTGTGAATAAACAGTTATTATCATTGTTATTATAATATTATTATTAGATATTATAAAGAAAACTTTGTATACGAACCAAATATTCCCATAATATTATTGGGGTATGTTCGAGCAACTCGCTCGCTACGCGATCTGATTTACATCTTGGTCTTTGGTACTTCTTTGTCTTCTGCTCTTTCCTTTCCTTTTATAACCAAAGCTGGCCATGTTTGGGTTAGCTGACCGTGGGAATCAAAATCAAGGTGAGCTCGGTGTGTGTAGCCTGCGAACAGCGGAATTGCATTGACATCATTCTAAAAATAACAGACCCCAACTGACCAGCAGTGACACAACACAGTATTTCATCGCAAATTATTTTATTCACCTCAAAGAGTATATCATTGTAGACAAGAAATAATAATAAAGTAATGGCTAATGGTTACATCATCACTTAACGTGTAGTCTACCAAATTGTCTCTGTAACTTAGATCTTGGTTCGTAAGTAGGTCCTTTTTCAGATGATACAAATAACATATTTTGTTGTGATCTTCGCTTGAACAAATTGTTCATTTCCAATAAGGCATCAGGATAATCGTAGATATTGTGTAATAACGGCAGTTGCTCTGCTGATCAACGTGGGGTTCATAATCTGCTTCTCCGTCATTTCCTCACACTATACTTTTTGAAATGCAATCTGTTGTAGCTGTAGTTTGTTGGAAAACTCAGCTGAAAACTGACCACCATAAGAGAATTATTTCTCAGCCATAGTTGTCTTTGGAGAAACACGCCGAGGGTTGATTATGCACAAATCTTCAACTTAAGACCAGGTATTGTGTAAAAAAAATGCAATTAAGAGTTAGCCGTTTAGCTTTTGTCTTTTTTAAAAAATAAGCGATTAAGACATTGAGTTCCCACTTCGAAAAAAGTCAAGAAATGTTGTTCCTCAATCATCCAGAACATGTTCATATTTCTTTGCGAAATTGTAATTCTCTGTCTATCGACAAACCTATGAAATACCTGTCGCAAAAGCTACAAGACGATTCAGAAAAAGAGGGCTCTTTTAACCCTGATTGGATAGTGAACAATCCATCATGTGTTCAACATACAAATGCGCTCTCCGTTCAATCATTGTAGACAAGAAATAATAACAAAGTAATGGCTAATGGTTACATCATCACTTAACGTGTAGTCTACCAAATTGTCTCTGTAACTTAGATCTTGGTTCGTAGGTAGGTCCTTTTTCAGATGATACAATTAACATATTTTGTTGTAATCTTCGCTTGAACA